TCGCTTGCTTAGGGGTGAGCTTCTTCTGCGTCAGAAAGTAGCTCGTTGCCACGTTGTCCGTCTTCACTACGAACTTTGACCCCAACAAGTAGTGCCTCCATGTGCGCAAGCAATGCACCATTGTCGTCATCTCCTTCTCGTGAACGGTGTATCGCCTCTCCGTCTCGCTGAGCTTCCGACTCTCGAAGGCAATGCGAAGTCGGATGCATCTGTCTACACTTTGTAGGCCAACGTCGGGTTGGGGAGCACGAGCACGGGGGTCCTACATCATCGCTGCCTTCAAGGCCTCGAATGCTTCTTGGCACCTTTCCAACCAATCCCACGCCTTGTTCTTCTTCAAGAGATCCGTCAAGGGTGCTGCAATGTTGGAGTAGCCCTTGATAAACCTCCGATAGTAGTTGGCAAGGCCGAGGAATGATTGCAACTCTGGCACCTTCGTCGGCGGCTCCCGTTCTTGGATTGCCTGCACCTTCGCTCCATCCATCTTCAACTTGCCTCCACCAATGATGTGCCTCAAGAATGGAACCACCGTGGCGGAAAATGTGCACTTCTCCCTCTTGACATACAACTCATTGTCGCAAAGGACTAGGAAGACTTGGCGTAGATGCTCGGCATGCTCATCGAGTGTTTTGCTATACACGACGATGTCATCCAAGTAGACCATGACAAACCGGTCCAAGAATGGCTCGAACACTTGATTCATCAAGGTGCAAAACGTGGCTGGTGCGTTGGTGAGATCGAATGGCATCACAAGAAACTTGTAAGAGCCATACCTCGTCACACAAGCCATCTTTGGCTCGTCGCCCTCTGCTATCCGCACTTGATAGTAGCCCAAGCGAAGATCAAGCTTGGTGAACCACATCGCATCTCCAAGCTGGTCGAACAAGTCGGCAATGTTGGGAATCAGCCACTTGTTCTTCACCGTCAACTTGTTGATGGCTCTATAGTCGATGCACATGCGCAACGACCCTTCCTTCTTCTTTTGGAACAACACCGGTGCTCCAAAAGGTGACTTCGATGGCCATATGTAGCCTGCGTCCACTAAGTCCTTGAGTTGCCTTCGCAATTCCTCTAACTCCGGTGGCGACATGCGGTATGGTGCTCGCGAAGGGGGCTTCGTTCCTGGCTCCAACTTGATCTTGTGGTCCACCTCTCTTCTTGGTGGCAGCTTCTTGTGCAACTCTGATGGCATCACGTCATCGAACTCTTCGAGGACGCCTTCGATGACGGGAGTTGTGATTCCAGTTGAGCCTCCCTCTTCCTACATTTTCAAGGACACAAGAAATGTTCGTTCATTCTTCTTGAACCCCTTCAATACCTGCATAGCGGATAAAGCACTATGGGGGCCATCTTCTCTCAAGATATGGACCGCATGGAACTCCCCCTCCTTCTCCAAGCACATCGTGTTGGAGTTGTGCTTCAAGAGCACTCCCTCCTTGTCGAGGAAGTTGATGCCGATGATGACTAGGTGATCATCCATGGTGACGACGGAAAAGTCGATGAGGCTTTCCCACTCGTCGAGCTTCACTGGCACGTTGTGAGCAACTCCATGGATCGGGATGGACTCCTAGTTGAACTTCTTGAGCCTCCTTTGCCCCTTCTCGTAGGCTACCCAGCCGGTTTGCCTCCTCGATGCGAAGGAAGTTGTCCGTGGCACCGGTATCCACCAAGGCTTTTGACTCACCTTGCATGAATTGCGCCAGAACATAGCACCTCCCGCGCTTGCTCTCCTTGATGTCGGTCTTCACCGCGCCAAGCTTGCTGATTGAGCCAATCTTGGCCTCTGCCGCCTTGGGCTCCTCATCTTGAGCTTCCATGGCCGCCAATCTCGCCCTCCTTGGGAAATCTCGCACTCGATGTGGTCCGTCACAAAGGAAACAAGATACGGGCTTTGGTTCGTACTTACCCCCTTTGCTCGAACCACCTTGGTGTTGTTGAGTGCGAGCACCCTCCTTGAAAGGCTTCTGATGTTCTCCACCCTTGTTGGGCTTTGAACTCTTCTCTTTGCCGCTGCTCTCTTGCCTTTTGTACTCAACAAAAGACTCTGCTGTGGCCATGGCAGTTGCAAGGTCTTGAACTCCTCGACGTTGCATCTCCATCTTGGCCCATGGTTGCAGCCCATCAAGAAAGTCGTGCATGGCCTCCTTGTCCGTGATGTCCGGGATCTCTAGATGCAGCTTAGAGAATTCGTTCACATATTCTCGAACTCCACCCCTCTGGGTGAGTCTTCTCAACTTCGAACGGGCTTCAAACTTCACGTTCTCTGGGTAGAACTGCTTCTTGATTTCTCTCTTGAAATCTTCCCACGTTACCATCACACAAGTACCTCTTTCGACGTCCACTTCACGTCGCCTCCACCACACCATGGCAACATCAACCAAGTAAAGTGGAGCGGTACGGAGTTTTACCTCATCCTCTTGGATGCCAGACGCCTTGAAGTAGTGCTCAAGACTCTAAAGGAAGTTCTCTAACTCCCTCGCGTTCCTTGAACCTCCGAAGTTCTTCGGTCTTGGAACATTAGCACGTGGGACGGATTGCACCGGGGCTGGTCCACTAGCCATGGCTCTCTTCACGAGAGTGACCTCACTCTTGAGGTCTGCAATCTCCTCCTTCACGCCGACCAACTTAGCCTGGACATGCTCTTTCACAATGGCAATGGCGGTGCTCACGGTTTCGGAGATGGTGTTGGTGATGAGAGCCACGAGCTCTTCTCGCATCCCATCATGGTTGATCTCCAAGCTTGTCAACCGACCAACCATTCCTTGAACATCGCTTTGGACTTGGGCAAAGTTAGCTCCCAAATCCTCGATGGCGGTGACATCTTCGGAAAGCTTCACCTCCATCCTCAAGACTCGCTTCTCTAAAGTCTTGAGAGGATCACGAGTGCTCGACAAACCCTTAGTTCTCGTGCTCGGGGTGGGCTCTCTTCCACGTGGCTTCTCAACGTCGTCATTGACTTCTGATCCCGACATTTTTGGTGAGGCTCTTCCTTTTCGTCTGGCTATTGCTCCTACTTTGCTAGCACAAAGCCGAACGGGGCTCTGATACCACTTGTCACGACCTTACTCTCGATCGTGCGGCCCTAGCTCTCAATTCCGTTAGAGCGCTAGGCAGCCTTCTCTCAAACTCACAAGCAAGCAAAGAACAAGGAAGCAAAGACAAAGAAGTGGGAGAACTCTCTATTGTGTATTACTCTAAAAAATGATGGAATGAGTTACAAGTGAGGGAGATGACTCCTTATATAGGCCTCTCCTCATACAAGGCATCAATGACCCTCATAATATCCCTCTACATCAATACACCCCCATTAAGTCCCCCCATTATGCACTCTATAAACGTTACCCATTATGTGACTCATAAGTGCACCATTAAGCTCTCTATTAAGGTGGAGAATCCTAGGATCATCTCTATGCTACTAGTCTTCCATACATGCCACATGTGCAGCCGCCATGTTGTCACCTTGTTGGCGCCATGTCATCTGCCACATGTGACAGTACTCATGGGCTGGGTTTATTGAAACCCAAATTCAATCCAACTCGATGAATAGTGAATGTGTTTAAATCTAAACCCGGCCCAAACTCTGTCAATACGGATTTTACCCGTATTGACTGAGTTGTGTCGGGTGGGTACCCGTGGGTTCGAGTTTTGTTGCCATCCCTAATCGCATGTCAATGTGTCATGAGCCCATGACCACGGGATAAGATCAGGTGACTAAGGGGGGTCCCCATAGTCACTTGCCTAAGTCAATCCTAGCCTTTGAAGTTCATTAAATACCAATGGCTCTAATTAATTCAATTTAATGAAGGGTAGTGTAGTTATTACATGATTCATGATTATTTTATTTTCAGAAATTAATAATTAAAAAATCCAACAATGGGGTCTCCTCGCCGGCCGGTCTCGTCGCCGTCCAGCCCGTCTCGTCGCCGTCCATTGGCAGTGCCATATTTGGTTTGTCCCAGTGCCATTTATTTTTTCCATTTTTTTTGTTCGTCCCAGAGAGAGAGAGAGAGAGAGAGAGAGAGAGAGAGAGAGAGAGAGAGAGAGAGAGAGAGAGAGAGAGAGAGATTTTTTGATCGGAAAATTTTTCCGGCGAACATTGTCGCCGGAGAAGAATTTCCCGGCGACAATGCTGATTTTGTGATGTTTGTTGGCATATTTTGTAAAGTTTGTATGTTTTGTTATTTTGTAATGTTTGTCGTTTTTTTTTGTAATGTTTGTAAACTTTGTTATTTTTGTGCACCATGTTTGTAAACTTTGTCATTTTTGTGCACCATGTTCGTAATGTTTTTTATGTCTAAAAAACACCCGGGTTGACTTTGGGAAGGAGCCCCTCTATATAGGGATGGAGCCTCCAAAGTCAACCCAGGTGTTTTTTCCCGTTCGTATGGATTGTCGGTCTAGTTTGTCATTTTTGTCCACCATGTTCGTACTGTTTGTATGTCTAAAAAACACCCGGGTTGACTTTGGGAAGGAGCCCCTCTATATAGGGATGGAGCCTCAAAAGTCAACCCGGTTGTTTTTTCTTTTTGTATGGTTTGTATTGTTTGTCGGTCTAGTTTGTATTGTTTGTACACTTCATACGTTTGTAATGTTTGTAAATCTGTTTGTATGTTTTGTCGCTCTAGTTTGTACTGTTCGTATGTTTGTATGGTTTGTACAGATTGTAAATCCGGTTTGTATATTTCGTAATTTTCCATAATACCCAAACTACCCCTGTCATTAATTAAATAGCCCTTCCTAATTTTTAACCATTGGATTGAAGTGTCCAGATCTAATGGCTAAGAGGGACTTAGCCAAGTAACTAAGCACCCCCTTAGTCACCAGATCCGCTCTCCATGACCACCATGGTTATTCGTTGTTACTTTTCAATCCACACAAGGAAATTATAAAATGAGTATGCCCATCTTACAAAACTACCGTTCTAACTATACCTTGGGTTTTTAGGGCTTTCTTCTCTCCCCCGTTTTTCTCGATCGACTAAATCAATCAATCACTTTCCGATGGCGGAGGATCAGGCCGTGAGATCTTCATCCACCGAGAGGTCCACCGGCAGGGTCGTCAAGTTCAGCGACAAGAAGGGGTTCGGCTTCATCAAGCCAGATGATGGCGGCGAAGATCTGTTCGTCCATCACAGCGTGATTAAGTCCGACGGCGGATACCGCACTCTCTCTGAGGACGATGTTGTCGAATTCGAAATTGCTCTCACCGATAATAAGTGCCAGGCAATCAACGTCACCGCTCCAGGCGGAGCTCCCGTTCAGCCTGCTAAAAGAGGCGGCGGAGACGGTTACGACCGGCGCGGAGCCGGATTCGGCGCTCCTAGGAGAAACAACGCGGGCGGTGCTGGGTGCTACAACTGTGGAAACCCTAATCACATCGCTAGGGAGTGCAATAATCGCGGCGAGAATAACAGCGGCGGAGGGAGCTGCTTCAAGTGCGGGAACGCTGGGCATTTTGCTCGGGAATGTACGCAGGGTGCCGTCAATGGTCGAGGAGGAGGAGGTTCCAGTGGATCTTGCTTTAGCTGCGGCGGGTTCGGACACTTGGCTAGGGATTGCCCCGGTGGCGGAGGAGCCTGCTATAACTGTGGAGGGTATGGCCACTTGGCAAGGGATTGCGCTAGTGGAAGGAGTGTTGGAGGCGGTGGCAGGTTTGGTTCATCTGCTGGTTGCTTCAACTGCGGGAAGCCAGGACACCTTGCAAGGGAGTGTCCCAATAGCTCTTGAGCGGAGGAACAAATAAATATTTCTCTGTTTGTTTTCCCATATTTTTTTTGTGGTTGCCTTAGGTGTTTGTTCACTTGGATTTGGTTGGTTTTGCGGGGATTTATACATAGGAGTTTGTGGCGCAAGTGGGTGATGCAATCCCTCTCTTTCTAAGAGGAATTCCCCAATTTTGACACATTCATATGTTGGTTTGGTTTGGTGGTGCTCTATCTCGGATGAAGAAGATGATTTATGTTTTCATTCTTCCACTCTTGGTTTATTTTGAATTCTCTGTGTTGGGTTTATTAGTAACTTTGCGGATTTTGTCATCTAATCAAGCTTTTCTTACTTACCTCGAGTGTGAAAGTTGAACATGTGACAGAATTGGGGGTTTATTTTGTTGTGCAATGCTTAATTAATAGCTAATCCTGGGAAGTTTATGTTATCTTCCATGTTGGTGTTCTTTGATTGGATGATGATGATAAGGACAATGTGCCCTTGTTAAGGTAAACTATTCTTTCAGCTTTTCTTTCTCTGTCTGAGCCAACGGGTAATCTTCTGTCTGTACACCGGCTTCAGATTTCTTTCCCCTGCCTTTCAACGGTTGTGGTTCCGTTTCCTTGTAGCATTTTTTTGTTGAAATTTCTGAACTAGATTAGTTGCATTTATGAAAACATGGAGAAGCTGATGGATAGTTTGAAGCTGCAGTTTGGCATTTATCCGACCGCAAAAGATGATTTGGGACCAATTGAAAGAGTCAATTTCACAGATGATGGGAGTCTTGCCAAAGGCAAGTCCTGAGGGAATTTAAGAGTGAGTTTCTCCTTGTTTTTGGCTGCATTTGGAGTTGGCTTCCACTTAGAAGTTGAGGATATGTTGGAATAGGTGTTGTTCACCATGAAATGACTCCCGAGTTATATCCTTCTTTTGGACTTGCCAAGTGGACACCTGGTATTGTTTTCATGCTTACCTTGGTTTCTGTTCATAGTAACACCATTCATTCTTTGTTGCTCAGATTACTGTATATGGGGAATGGATGCCTGATGTGCTTTGACAGACATACTTCTTAATGTCACTATGTTGATGTGCCAGATACCGGTTGTTAGTGAACTATCTTGAACCTGCTAGTCGTTTCCCCTTTGAGGACATATTCCGAGACTTCAGTGAGAAGAACATGTATGTGGAGGTCATTAGATTCTGCTTTGCATTCCATCTGGCTGAAAACTTCCAACCAAACCAGTTCCTCTTGAGCTACTTGGATAAGACAAGGATCAAGTAATGAAACATATCTCTTTCTTTCTTTCCTTCCTTGTAATGGATGCCTGCCTGGTGTGCTTTCACAGAAAATTAAACTCTTCCTCCTCGCATCTCTTTTTCCTTCTTAGTTATTGTCTAAAGTGTAAGTTTCTTCTACTTTCAGTTACAGCTCAAAGAAATGAACTATAACGCACTTAGGTTCATTTGGCAGATACACATTTTTCACTTTTGGCCCAAAGCTATGTTCTTTTGCTTTCCACCCCCCTAGATTTGCCTATTTTGAGTTATTATCTGTCAAAACCTCTACCCTTTTAGGACTTATCCGGAGTCCGAGTTAGAAGAACATGCATATGGAGGCCTTTAGATTCAGTTTGGCATATAAGCTGGCTGAAAACTTCCCACCAAACCTGTTCCTCTTGAAATACTTTGAGAAAACGGATATTTGAGGATCAGAACGACTTACTTGAGTTACAAATAATAATACACGTCTCTTTCTTTTTTCCCTTGTAATATAATCTTGTACCTGCAACTAGGGGTGGGCATTGGTGCGGATTGACCCGCACCGCACCATATCTATATAAACCGCACCGCACCGTATGTCAATTGGACCGCACCGCATATTCGACCGCAATGCAATCGGTGCGGTCAAACCGAACCACATTAATTAACGGTTTGGTGCAGTTTAGACCGCATCGCATGTTTGACCGCAATTCATTATGGATTATTACACCTTCCGACTTTTCCTGCTTTGCTTTCAGTTCTTATGCGCTTTCATTTTTCAATTTCTCTCCCCCTTTACTTCAAACAATATTTTGTTGACAAAGGAATACTCTGTTTTCGACGATGAAAGCAAGGTAGACCAAATTTCCACAACTGCAAATTTCTTGTTGTTTTTTCGTCGATCAATAATGAAAGAATGCAAAAGAAGATCCCCTGTTCCAAATCCCTGCTATGTCGTGAGTGAAAGAATGATGATCATCATGCCTTATGCAGAAAGAAGAACACAACTGGTGATACGTATCACGTATGAACCCCAGCTGAAAGTGCAGCTATAGAGATTTGAAATAATTCATGTGGCAAATATATCCCATCAGTGACTCTTAATGATGGAATGAACCCCCTTATGTTCCTTCACAGTAGGTATTACAATCCCCTTAGGCCTTAGCTGCTACAATTGTTTGCACAACTAATTCAATTACCAGTAGAAAGTAATGCTAAATTGAGAAGTTGACTAATCATTAACACTAGAATTTGAACCTCTCGAAACCATTACAGATACAAGACACCGAGGGACTTCATTCTTCGACTACCCATCTACACTGTCTTCTAGAAGCTCCAATGGGTATGTCTCCACATTCTCAGGGTCGCAGTCAGCAATTCATCCAAACAAATATTTCACATTTGACAGCTTCTGTGTAGGTTCAAGCAACCTGAAAGCACAGATTTCAAATCATTGTTCACATATGGAGTGAGATGCTAGTTAAAAGTAATTGCTTCTGAACCAACAAGGACAATATGATTGTCAATAGTAGCAGAAATTGCTTCTGAATCCATTCCAACATCATCACTCAGCCTAAACAACAACCTAGTAAATGAGAACATGGCATAAAAGCATAATGACACAAAAAAAAAAAAAAAAAAAACAGAAAGACAGAACTCTATTTGTGTGTTAGCAGCAGGCACATTAGTTGTTCTTGCTACTATCCCTTTTCTCCCTTTCTTTTCTGAACTTACCTTGAAGCAATAGTTAGACAATTCAACTCGGATACAGTGCCTATAGCTAGCATAAGGAGTCTGCAACCATTTCCATTTGACCTAACAGGAAAGTAAGCTTAAGTCCAAGTAAACACACAAATAACCCCCTGCACCAGAATAAATTGAAAATTAAACCAGGCCAAGTTTAGGACACAACAACACAATAAAGCTCAAATACCAACAACCCTCGACGCAACACCAAAAGCAGCATTGAAAGGGGGAGGGGAACAGAATGTACAAATTGAACAGAGGTTGCTTTACGGCTCAAACTCACAAACCCAGTAGAGGAAAATGATGAGAATCACAAAGCAAAAGGCAGCAGCATTCGTCATTGACAATCTATCCAAATCTAAGAGACACAGCAGCCTATTATATATGTGGTGGGTGTGTGAATTGTGATGATTGTTTAAGAGATGTGTATAGTTATATATACCTTAGCTTCGATCCCAAGGCTAGCTGAGGTTTCTTTTATAAACCCACAGAGGGAAATAAGCAGAGTGACCATCGAAGCTCATCTCCGAGGTCTCAAATCACCTGTGCAGTCGAATCAATTCGGACCCTTGATCCATTCTCAACTAATCAATCCACCAATCATACCTAATATCTAGATTCCATACCTAATAGAAAACTCACGAAGGGTCAAACTACCCCCGAATCCATAAATCCCATATATCTTGAAGTTGCCGTTTTCTATTAGCAGATGCGAAAAAGCTTTCTAAGTTCCTGGACGGTCGGCGCCTTGGCGGAGCTGCGACGGGAACGGGGAGAGGAAAGGTTGACAGGAAGAGGGAGGGAGTACCAAAACGGCGGTGCGAGCCGGGATGCGGAGGCCGGCGGAGGTGAGACCCTTCTCGTCTGCCGAGGGAATCCAGGGGAAGGGTCAACGTCGTAACTGGGAAGTTCTCGCCTCTTGGTGGTGCGTGACGTCGAGAGGGACGAGAAGCTCAAGATTCGGGACGGAGACAAGAACTAGTAGGGAGAGGTATCGCCGGCGCTGGTGCCGGCGGCGAGGCTTGCTCTTGACATCTTGTGGTGAGAAGGTCGGCGGCGCCGACCCTGGGAAGAATAAATCGGGTATGTGTGTGGTGAGAACTGGAGGGCGACCTTCAGATTAGGGATTTAGGCATTTAGCGGTTAGCGGTTTTGAACCGCAACCGCGCGGTTTTGGTCGATCCGTATCGCAAACCGCAAACCGCTTAATTATTAGATCGCAAATGAGACCGCAACCTTAGCGGTGCGGTTTGGACCGACCGCACAAGTGATTAGGAGCGGGCGGTGCGGTTTGGACCGCACCAATGCCCACCCCTACCTGCAACGACCCAATATCTGAAACGGTCTTTTCTGCAGTGCCAAGCCCTGAACAAACATTTCGGTTCCTTAGAATCCTTCTCACTGCATGTGGAAGGACTCGGTCTCGATCCGAGTTTCTTGAACCATAAGATTGGCGACCATCTCTAGGAACCGGATACTCGAGTGGGACGCAAAAGAAGTTGCTTAATGGCAGCTGGTCTTGCTTTTCAGAAGCATGTGGAGAGTTCAGTACCGCAGCCCACCTTCTTTCCATCCGGTTGATTTCATTTGCCAATCTAAGTCCATTGGCGCTAACTTGACTATGTGAGGAAAAAAATATTGACGAGAATGAGACGTCACCCAATAAGTAAATAATAGGTTAATGTAAGTATGAATACAAACATAATAACGAGTGATGTTGTGTCCCTGAATTAATTTCCCCTACCATCCATGTACTCACTTTTATCAGTTTTCATAGCCCACTTCATTTCTCTATATACATATATCTCATTCAAATATACATTCACATTCAGTAGCATGGTCTCATATAATATACCACATCCCATAAACATCAGGATACCAGAGATTTCATTCAATAACACACGCATCCATTCATTTCATCATGTACTCTCATATCGTATCAATATAACAAACACCATAAAAACCATCACATAAGTATATAATCCACGTGCACAGTTCGTATATCACATCATAGGAAGTCATCAGATAACCCTATCATAAGCAATCTTTATATAGAGATTCAATCACATGCACAGTTAGGTTGATTTAGTGGCTTTTACTCCATTAGCTTGCCAAGTCATACACTCTTCCAAGATGTATGAATATGGATTACCATTAGTTCCAATCAAGCATACAACCGCGGGACGTACCCAGCCCAGTCTCATTATATCACATACCACCGCGGAGTGTATCACAACCTAGTGTTACCATACCATATTCACCCTATTCTCGTATCTTCTGTTGAGTATACAAGGCAATCTTTATGTTTTATTTAGGTGACCATGCAACAACATTTCATGTATGCCATTATGGCCAATCCATTTCTATTTGATATACAGATCTTATACTTCTAACCATCTCATATAAATGCCTTATAGGCCATTTCTAGATTCCAATCATACACTATAGTACTAGGCAAGGTATCTTGCATATAATTTCACTTTAGCGCGTCAAAGGCCACTCCATGTTTCATCTATCCGATATCCAATTTTATATCACAGTCATAGAATATATATCATATTGAAAACCATCCTACAATTCATCATACAACACCATGTGACATATCAACATGATCATTCAAATAAGTATGCACACATCCATGTCATCATTCATTCTCATACCAACAACACTATGATATCACACGGATCAAACAATGATAATTTACCCTGTACTTGAGTCACTTCATAACTCGAATACCATATTCTTATTAATATAAGCATTAGGTCAAGATTTACTCACAACTCAATTACTGCTATAACCTTGGCTCTTATCGTTGTTTCGCTTCGCTCCATCTGCTTTTTAAGAGTTTACATGCACAATACACTTTCAGTATATGGAGCTCATAAGTATGAGTCAATAAATTATAATCGCATAACCTAATTAAAGTATATAACCCTAATGAACCCAATTAATTTTCATAATAAGAAATTCAATTAAATTTCCCCACATACCCACGTTGACTCATATACTCAATTTACTACATAGCACAAGGTTTACATTGCTATATCATTGCTGATTGGAGCCTCGTTCTTTTCGTCAAGCGGTTCAGTTCAAATTGGCGTGATATTATGCAGGCAGAGATTACGACTTTGGATAAAAACGGGACATGAATATTTCAACATCTTCCTCTTGACAAGCGTTTAGTCGACTGCAAATGAGTGTACAAGATTAAGTACCAGCCCGATGATACTATCTAGCGTAATAAGGCTCGTTTAGTCGCTCAAGATTATACTCAACTCGAAGGTATTGACTACCATGATACATTTGCTCTGGTTGCCAAACTGGTCACTGTTCGCTTGGTCATGGATGTTGCTGCTTCTAAGAGATGATTTCTTCCCCAGTTTAACATAAATAATTCTTTTCTTCATGACGACCTTTCTGAAGAGGTATATATGCGAGTCCCACAAGGGTGTGCACGAACAGGTGATTCATGGGTCTTTCGACTGCAAAAGTAACTCTATGAACTTAAGCAGGCATCGCGTCAATGGTACACAAAGTTCGTTGTTGCTTTCCTTGAACTTGGTTTTGTACTTTCTCATGCTAATCAATCCTTGTTCTTGTTTTGTCGCGGTTCTATTTTCGTGGTGGCTCTTATCTATCTTGGTGATGTCATCCTATCCGACAATCATATGGGGTTCATCAATCGGGTTAAAGGTTTTCTCCATGATCGCTTTAGCATCAAGGACCTTGGCGCTTTAAAATACTTTCTTGGTATTAAGGTTTCCCGATCTTTTGAGGGAATTTTTCTAAGACAAAGAAATAAACATAAGACATTCTTGAGGAGGCTGGTGTCCAGGCCTCTCGCCCAGTTCGTTTCCCGCTTGAGCAAAATCACTACCTCACTCTTCTACAATGAAACATACCACTACTTTGGACTTGGAAAAAGACATTTCTACCCCAGGGAATATTTAAAAATCTCAAATAACACAACTTTAAATAAAATACATATCTTAATATCTCAAAATGAAACCCTAAACACGTAGGCATAACTGCTGCTCTTTAAGTTACCGAGAACTTCAATATCTGCCCAAACAGTTAAACGTAAACAAGAAAACATGGATGAGCTTCCACGAAACACTCATTTGTATAGAGTAAAATATAATCAATCATAACAATTTGAAAGTTAGTAAGTAAATCATCATATAACTCAAATGCAAACTAGGCAATTAACATTCAAAACATACATTTCTTAGGCTCTAGAATAGGCTGGCCATAGTTCCAACATCTAGATTTAACAAGGTTTGAGGCACAAAGGAATATGCTTCTGAAGCATTCAAGCAAACCCTAAAAACATTCAATTTTAGGCAATATCAAATCTAGTCCACCAGAAGAATCTCAATATATCAATCAATCAACCCACCATAACTAGTTCACCATGCTAAATAAGCAAAAATGGCTACTAGTTAAACATGAAAAACAATAGAGAAACTACTGTTTAAATGTAGTAAGGCAAAACCAGTACCCTCAATAATCTACTACGTGTTTCTGCAATCGAGTTCCATTCATGTCAAATATAAATTCAACCATTACATAAACAATCCGATTAAGGTATGACCTAACTGAGGTGCATTGAACTGGGTTACTTATTGCAAATTTAGTGGAACAGGTAGCTCTTTGCCCCATCCGAGTTTCTAAATCACAATAAAATTCTCGGAAAATAGGCAAGCACACAAACAACAAACAGAAATAGGAACTTGAGTTCCTCGATACAAATAGACAAACATAAATCAGAACTTTTGGGTACCTTGATTACCAACAAACAAAAAATGCGATCACTCGGCGAAAGCGAAATCGAAGAGGGAGGCAACGAGGTGGGTTCTTTGGAAGTCTAAGAGGTAGGCGGAGGTGACGTCGACGATGCTAGCCTCGACGTCGATGGAGTTTGGGGAATCGGCCAATCGATGTTCTTTCCGGGAGCTGTAGGGTAAAGATAATAAGTGGGACGATGGAGGTTTTGGAGAGGGAGGGGGTTCCAAAGTCGGAGAGGGAGGTGATAGAGAAATCATCGACGGTGGCACTGAAGCTGGTGTGTTTGGGCAAACATGATCGACATTCTTTGGATTAGATCAACCATGGACAATGGTGGCTTCGATAGTTGGATGGGAATTCAGAAGTTGGAATTTAAGTTTTTGTTTTCGATAATAAAGTCGTAAATCTGAGTTGTGCATTGCTTTGGACAGTGAAGATTAGTGGATTAAGGGATTATGATCGATCCATAGATCCAATCCATGAATTCATAAATCAATTTATATGGATATGGATAAAATTTAAATGAATTTGATGGTTATTGCCACCTCTTGGCACAATTAGTCCTCATCTTTCAAAAGACAACAATCTCAACAATTTCAACCAAAACTTGAGATTTAACTATCACTCATTTTGAGTGATAGTTTGTGTCACATCAAGCATGCATTGTTTGTGCATAAAATTTAAAAAAACGATGCATTGTGAACATTGCATGCATTGTAACTATCTGCCAACCAAACTATCACCAAAACCAAACGACCAAATGATAGTATAAATTCATTTAAGAATAACAAAAGAAGAGGACCAGAAAGAAAACATTTTTTATTCAACCATTTCCCTTCATTTTCTCTCTTCGATCATATATGCATTGAGCCTGATTCTGTATTTATATAACCATAGCTGACCACACAATACCAGCGTAGAAGCTATGCCCATAGAAAAGGATTCTTTTTTCCAGTGGTGGAGTTACATTATATCCAGAAAGGGCTGTAGCCATCTCAACTTTCAAATGCAAGTAAAATTTATAGTAAAATTAGAAAATAAACTAGTCAGTAAGGCTCTAACCCCCTAACCATGGTTCAAATCTGTCAAATGCAAACTTTTTAGCTCTTCGTTCAAATTTCTGGCTTTGCCACTTCTAACCAATATAAATATTCACAGCAACACTACACAACGATTTCTGATGCAAAAACTAAAGACCATCATGCATCATATTTCAAATGTGTCATTTACCAAGAAAGTTACCGGGGAAGAGCACTTAACCGTTAACATGAGCTGTGTCAAAGCTTTGGGACTCGGTAGTAGCCGGGAGTTTCTTCCTCTTCTCCATAAAAGAAGTTCCTCTAGCTTTATCCTGTTCTTCTTTCAAACCCTTCAAGAAAACCCTCACTTCCTTCGATCCAAATGGGTTGGATTCCGCCACAACACCACACTCCGCGCAGACTGCTCTCAGTCCCCCGATCAGCAAATCCTGGCTACCCCATGCTTGCTTCAGTGGGCAATCGCACGATGAAAAAGCTGAATTCTGCTCCAGGCTTCCATAGTTGGCACAACTCGCAATGTGGACTCTCGTCTTCCCAAACTTATCCATGTGCTTCAAGTACTCCACCACTTCACCTCCGGTGCACAAACCCTGGCTTGAAGGTGCAGGCTGCTTCAGAACCTTTGAGTAGTAGTACGAAAACCTCTTCCAATCTCGCCCCTTCTGTGATTCTTACCTTTCAAAAAAAGGAGCAGTTGCAGTCTTTGATCGAACTGTCTGCTTGGCTTCTAATTGCTTCTCTTCGGGGAGAAGTTTTGTGGCACACTTTTCGATTGACGCTGACTCTGTCTCCGTCACGACATTGCATTCCATTTCTTCACTTTCATGTCCTTCATTGCTGACCTTATTCGGTTCATCATCAACTGAATCAAGATGGCTAACAGTCTTCTTTTGAGGCTCGACTGAGCTCTGTAACATTGACTCCAGCTGTTGCATTTCTCCTTAATGAAGATTTTCGGTGGACTTTCTGATTGACTTGGGATCTCCGTCTTCTGCGGAAGGCTGAGCCGGGATGGACTTGATCAAAGCGTTGGGTTATGTAATTCCTTTATCTCCACTATTTTTGCTTTTGTTGACAAACAGGTCAACTGGATTCATGTGGCTCTTCCTCATTCGCTTCCTTGCCAAGCTTCGAGTCTCCGAGGCCTGCTTCCTCTTCAACTCAAACCTTTCCTGTAACTAATGGCTTGAAATGAACTTCCCTTATGCACATGCCAATTCATTCTGTTCAATCCCACCAGGACTCTCCACCACCATATCCAATTGCTCGCTCTGCAAATCAAGCTCTTCTACACATCTTGGTTCTTTTTGTTTAACTCCTCGGCTTTCCAACACTGTATCCGATTCCTCGCTCTGCAGATTAAGCTCTTCTGCACAACCAGATTCTTTCTCTTCTACCCTTGGACTCTCCACCAGAACCTCATTTTCATCCAGAATCCGATCTTCGACTGAAATCATCTCCCCGAGCTCCACTGCAAATGAGGATGACCCGGTTGTAGTCGTCAATCTAAGTTCCATATCCTCTATGGTATCTAATTGCATCTCTTCTGGACGAAGATTTGTTGAGGAGCTCTCACTTGACTCTGGCTCTTTTTCCTTGGCAGAGCACTCTGTCATAACAATAGAGTTCACCACCGCACTGCTGCATATCCTTCCTTCACCTTTTCCCTGAAGCAACTCAACCGCCGTGTCAGCTGAGCTCTCCTTCTGTCGCCAATTATGAAGCCACAAGCTCGTTACTCCACTCATTAACTCATCCATCCTTTCATGTTTCTCCTGAAGCTGCGAATCACAGTTTGGAACAAACCTCTATTATGCACATCCCGGCTCCTTCTGTGTAACCATATCCGATTGCCCTCTGTGCACATCAAGCGAACCATTGCCATCCTGAATATGGTTTTCAAGAGAACCCATATCTCCCAAGTACAGAAACGACGACGCCCCAACAACATCCTTTGACCCCACTCAATTACCGTCTAGTGCATCTTACTGCTTCTCTGCAGGATGAAGCTTTGTTGGATCCTTCGTGATTGGCTCTTTTTCCTTGGCAGAGGAGGCTAACACAATAGGCTGGATTTTCACAGAATTGCACTCCGATCCATTATCTTCATTTTGTTCACTTATTTTCTTAATCAGCTCAGCAACTGAATCAGCAGACCTCTGCTTCTGTTGCTCTTCCAGCGAACTCTGTAACCTATGTATTACATGCTTCCTCTCGATCCTGTGCTCATTCTTCAACGAAGCTAAGTTGAAGACATCATTGTAGTCCAACCGCTTCTTCTCCTTCGACTTGTTCTTACCATTACGCTACTTACTTGCCTTCTGTCTAACCTTGTCACCAAACCCTCGAACAACCTCGACCTCCATTTGCCCTAGCCCCAGCATCAACTTAGGCTCCTTACATTTCACCTCGAGCTGACCCAACCTTCGCTCATAATCCCGGATTATTGATTCCAGTTCTTGAATCCTTTATTCTCTAGCTATCAGTTCTCCCTCTCTGGATCCCAAATTATCACACCTCCGTTTGATTTCCTTCTCCTTCGCCTTCACTGCTTTCCGTCTCTTCTCCACCTCGAGCTCACTAGCTCTAACCCTAATCCTTCTTTCCTCGATGTAGTTCCCTAGCGTCTCGAGTTGCTCTTCTCTTTCCCTGAGCTCTCTCAGCTTCCTCTGGGCCGACTCCTTCTCGACCTCGAAATCATTCCTCGACTTGATCAGTTTGCGCATCTCCGTGATCTCCTTCTCTCTCGAGTCAAGCTCCAGGAACCTCAGTTCCTCTTCGCCTCCCGAGCCATCTCCAGCAGCTCGTTCTGTTTCCTCTCGAGCTCCTTCGATCGATCGTCCATGGCCGCGATTATGGACTCGAAATGAATCTCGATCTGCCGGTGGTGGCGAAGAGTTTCCGGTAGGGAGGAAGCGTAAGACGATCCAACACAAAAAAATAAATAGGGAAGAAGCGTAAGACGATCCAACGACAAGAGGGTTTTTTGTGCCACGATATGGGCAGCCCTAAAATTCCTACGCATTTACCAGAATCCATGTCTGAGCTTCAACCCTTTTCAGGGCGGAAGTAATGGACCAAATTCCCGTGACTGTCAAGCGACCGCAATGCAGTAAATCCCTGCAAATCTAACAATAAAGTATGCGCGAGACAAAAAGATGTTAGAAATTAAATCACTATAGATACAGATTTAGAATTCGACACACGTTGTCTTTCCATTGAAGCTATAAAGTCCATTAGTCCACCAAAAAACTTACGCAGCGTCAACAAAGCAATAGTTTCCCTCAACAACTAGGAAACACGAAGCTCCAATTTGACATGTGAACCAAGGTATAACAAAGCAGATAATTGATTAAATCAAATAAAAGGATAATGATTCTGGTAAAACTAAATTAACAAATAAAAGGTGAGAGCTTATCTGTACACCGCGCCACCGTTGAATTCTATTGGCGAACCGCCCAGCCGCCAACATCCACCAATGGAAGATCCACGCCTGTTTTGCACGTGGCAGCTGAAAAGCAAGTAGGACAAAATTCCCCAGCGAACCTGCAGAGCGTTCGGCGCAGGGACGGTCCGAGGCAACTTTGGCAGCTGTCGCATCGCTGCACACCAGCACCCTCCGGGAGACTCTTATTGTATGACCGTCTCCACACCCTGCTAGTGATGAGGCCTACAAAACAAACAAAAAGAAATTGCCCCACCATAGCACTCCAAAGCAGGCGGGTATAAAGCCTTAGTCGCAGATCCGATTTCACGAAGCTGATGAACTCCGGATCTGGTACGGGGGCATCTGTTTGGCCAACCACCTATGACGGCAAGAGGGAACTCCGAGGATGGATGGCGGGCTTCTGGACCGGGCAGTTGTTGAGGAGCCGGTACGTCGTGTTGACGAAGCAGACGGGTAGTCGTGAGGCGAGACGTCACCTCAGCAAAGGCCATGAGGTTGACCCGGTCCTGTCAGGGCTTTCGGATCGTTCGATTTCAGAAGGCTAACGTATTCATTGGCCCTAACATCCCCGGCCTCGAAGTGGGTCTTCCCGTTCTGTTCCGTCAAACCCTGTTTGGCCACGTTGTCCCTTTGGAAGCTGAAGAACACGAACCTTCCCAGAAATAGAAACAGAATTTGCTATTCGCCGCACTACCATTCTTAATTCTCACCCTAACCCTAATTGGGGGCGAAAGTACAAACATGACCTCCAGAACTAAAGCCTACCTTCATCTTCCTTGCCTTCCCTTCTACTAACAAAATCCATCTTCTTTCTCCTCCATTGCACCCACCTTTACGGACCTTCCTTAGCGAGAATCTGCCTCCTTCACCCAACTCTTCCGACAACGTCTCCGCAAATCGATGGAAGCTTCCTCCTCGCCGGCATCCTTGCAAATCGCCCCACCTTCACCAGCTCCCTTCCCCACCCCCATCGTCCGAAACAAGAATCACATTCCGCCGCACCACCTTCATCTCGAGAATCCGTCGCAAGAAATTGTCGCCCGTCGCCACCCCCTTTCCCCTGCCTTCACCGCTTCATTCCTTCCTCTCCCGCATTCTCCATCGCACACAGCCTCACCGCTTCTTCCCCACCGACCCTTCCCCACTCTCAATTGAGAATCTGCAGCCCTTTCGCAGCCATCGCCAGAATTCGCCGTTAAATAGCACCCACTTTCAATTCCCTGCCTCAACCATCGCCGCCATCGCCCTTGAAAGAGGAATCAGTCGCTAAAAGAGAATCTGGCCACTGAAAGAGGAATACGACGTAGCTTCATCTCCTTGTTAACCCACCCCAGGGAAAATCCCACGGTTGAGCAGCGTACATACTTGTCTTTGTGTGCCTAGTGTGAAGTGTGAACGCCGCCCGACCGTGGGTTTCAACTTGATCAGGCCGGTTACAAATTAATTAATAAAATTAAATTGATTGTTTTTCAAAAAAATAAAAATAAAATGAAAAAATTATTAGGAAATGAATGTTTTTAGTAAAAAATGGAAAAGTTTGTCAAAATTTGAATAAATTTTTCGAATTGGAAAGAAAAAATCACTACGTTGATCAAAATGTATATTTTGAGTGGGAAAAGATAGCAGAATTTTTAAATTTGAAATAAAAATTGGAAATTAGAAAGAAAACAACATTGATGAAAATGCATATTTGGAGTGAAAAAAATTAGAAAAGCGAAGTAACAAAAAAAATATAATATTCTCATAACACAAATAAAATATTCACATAATCTAAATATTATATTCGTATAACACTAATACAATATTCATATGGAACATGAATTAAAATGCATTTTCTTTGTCTCGCTTCTATTCTAACAGAGTTTATCTCCATGTCGCATTAAGGGTTTATGGTTAAACATTGAGGATCTTTTTGTTGTTTGATAATAGTTACATTATACAAATATCATATCCTCATAACACATATACAATATTCACATAATACAAATATAATATTCACATATTACAATTATCATATTCTTATAACACAAATACAATATTCATATGAGAGTGATTAAAATGCACTCAAAATCATAAAATGTTGAATTGCATTCTTATACG